GTATTTAATAAAATATTTTTTTATTATATCAATAAAGCATTTCATTTAAAACAACTACAAATTACGCACGTTCCCACGACGATCGGATCTACGCTCCGGAACGACCCGGGCAACGCCCCACCAAGGATTGTCAACTCAGCGACAGCTGTTCAAACCATCTGTTTTCGCCACAGGTGAGCAAACCATGTCAGCCGATTTGCTCAATATCCTATTAATAATTATTAGCATCGAGCAGAACCCGGGCCCCACTTCCACCGAGGTCACGTTCTGTTCACGGATCACGCGCAATCTTGTCCAGGTGCAATGTAACCTATGGCTAGTCACAGAGACTGGTCAAACAATTTTGTGGCGAGCTGGTGTGCACAAACAAGTTCTCCGTCTGCAGCTGCTCAACTTCATTCTTCCAGCAACGCCGCTGCAACACCCAACATTTGGCGTTGCTCGGTCTGCAACCAAATCATTAGCAGAAATACTACATCTGTCCGGTGCAACAGATGCAATAACTGGTGTCACATGCGACGTTGCACAAACTTGCGGTCGCATAGAGAGTGAACAACCCAATGTGTAGCAGATTGTTGAGCCAACTCCAACCAAAACACCTCAACTACAGCGACTAACATCAACGTCGACATCCACAACAGCGTCCAGTCCTCCAAGCTCTCCATCAGGACGTAGCTCAAACGCACATTCCAGAGCTTCTGTTGTGTCAATGCCATCTCCGCCACAAACCAATCAGGGCACGCCCGTAAGAAAAATGCAGCAACAACAGTATGGATTTGATGGTCTCCACAATTTTAAGATCTTGCAGTTAAACTGTAATGGCCTTAAAAACAAAATTGTGGAGATCACCAATTTCATGCATGTTAATAACATCAATATAGCTGCCATCCAGGAGACAAAACTTACGGGCGAGATACGACTTAGTTCTCATGGGAATTATATCATTATAAGACAGGACAGGCAGAGGAGTCGTGGAGGAGGACTGGCTTTCATTATAAATCGTAATGTCAGCTACCGTCTCATGACCCTTCCACCCAATCTTAATGACGAATTCCTTGAGAACATAGGCATCTCTATTCAAAAAGAAGACAATGAAGTGGAGATCGTCAATGTATACATTCCGCCAGTAAACAGCATCGGGCCCAGCTATCAACCCCCCATTGAACACCTGTTGGTAGGTGATAGCAGAATGGTCATTGGCGATTTTAATGCCCACCATGAAACATGGTTTTCAGAACTAGCCCAAGACCATCGTGGGCTAAGCATTGCAGACCATATAGACGATTCGGAATTCGCTGCAATAAATGAATGCTACCGCAGGAGAATAGTGGCCAACTGTTCCAGCTCCCCTGACATAACCATCGTTAGCTCGTGGCTTATATGCACAATATCCTGGCAAACACATCCCTATAGTGATCACCGTGGAGAAGCTTAGCGACTTTATGGAGCCGGATATGCGCACATTTCTAAATTATGGCAAAGCCAACTGGCATGGTTTCACAAATGATGTTGACAATGCAATCAGTCAATAGCCGCCACCCTCATGTGCCAGAAAGGGAGAGAGAATATTGAGGGACATCATCACTCAGGCGGCCAAGCGACATTCCCAGCAGGCAGAATTCCCACACGTAGACTAGGTTATCCCACGGCAGTTGCAAGAATTGCAGATCAGAGAGACTAACTACGCCAAACCTGTCCGGATGACCCTAGGATTGCTACCCTGACGGAAGAAGTTAACTCCCTTATCAACCAGCACCGTCGTGAAAAATGGGTAGAACACCTAAATAACTGCGAAGATGGTTTGCATCCAACAAACTGATGCCAAAAAATGTGCTAACAAATTCTGCCAGCAATTCAATGCACATCCTACCCTCGCAGAACCGGACCTTCAGAGCTACCTCGAGAAGTTCAGGCCACAATATCGAAGGCAAAAGCTTCTAAAGCCTATTGTCTGGTTGGCATCTCTATGGTCATGCTAAAACATTTCGGCCCAATAGCTTTGGATTATCTGGCAGCAATCCTATCTCAATTGGTAAACTCACTAGTAGTCCCAGAGATCTGGAAGGTTGCCAGAATAATCCCACTTCCAAAACCAGAAAAATCAGCTCATCTAGGAGAATCATTCCGCCCTATCTCTCTTATCACCTGTAGCTAAAGTTTTGGAAGCACTATTACTGCCGACCATGATCGAACATCTTCATTTAGCTGACCACCAACACGGATTCCGCAAAGCACGCAGTACTACAACGGCGCTAAATGATATCACAACATACATTACAAACGGTCTCAACCAAAATCGACCGTCAGCGCCGACTGTGTTCGCTGCGTTAGACCTATCAAAAGCGTTTGACACAGTGGACCACTCGATTTTGCTCAGTGATATCATGAACTCCACATTGCCTTGGTAACTATCTCTATGGCAGACAGGCATATGTGGAGTTCAGAGGTCGGATATCTAAATACCGCAAGATTAAAATGGGCGTCCCGCAGGGAGGAGTACTATCTCCACTGCTTTTTAATCTATATCTTGCGACGCTTCCTGCCCCACCTCCCGATGTTAAAATTGTTTCCTACGCAGATGACTGTACCATCATGTCGTCTGGAGTCGACATTGATGACGTAAGTGCGAAAATCAATAACTACCTCGCCACCATTTCAGCATTCATGAAGGAAAGGAAACTAATTATATACCCGTCCAAATCTACTGCGACGTTATTTACCTCCTGGACAGAGCTTAATATCATAGTCGATGACCGAAGAATTCCAACAGTTCAACATCCCTAGATAATGGGAGTAGTTTTTGATAACCTGCTTAACTTCACCAAGGACGTCGCCTATGTCAAAGGGAAAGTCCGCAACAAAAACAAAGTCCTGAAAGCTCTGACATGTACCTCCTGGGGAAAGGATAAAGAGACGCTCATCATGACGTACAAAGCCATTAGTCGCTCAGTACTGAGCGACACCCAAAGGCCTGAAGGTTGCGCCTCCAAAATAGTGCTGTAAGGATTGCTACCGGATGTGTCAAGATGTCGTTAGCTGCAGGTCTGAAACAGCTGCACACTCGAGCGGTCAATCAAGCCGTCGACGGATACTGCCTAAATAAAGTCCTTAATGAACATCCCCCAGCAATCAGTGACTCCGAAAAGCTCCTTCCCAGATACACTAGAACAACTCTAGCTCTACTTAGATCTGGCTATATATCCTAACATCTACACATGCACACACATAGCCCAATAACCCACACACCACCATAACCACAATACCCATATCCCATCATTACACAAATCCCGCACACTTTCCACACACTAATGAACCCATTATTAATACCTCTACTACATCTACAGGAAAAGCACATGGTTCCAGCCAAACCGTTACAACAACAACAAATTACGCATAAATGTACTTACTTTTGTTGAAAATCGCAGCGAAACATGTGTAAAATTGTATACACTTTCTGCCTAAAATCTTACAACAACAAATCTACAGAAAATTACTACTTTTTGTGCGGCATCTTGTTGTCTATCATTATCATTGTTATTTTCAACAAAAATAATTTAGAGTGTAGTTCCTATTCCTATCTACAAATTTGCCGATCTTGCTTGAGTACTCATGTATCTTGCACACTGTGGTATAGGGTATTATCTCATTGTGCATATGTTTGTAACCCTATTGAAATTCGGAAAAATCGATTTCCACGAAACTTGGCATAGCGTACTGAATTAAGTGCAGAATGATGTGTGTAATTTTTTTTTTGAAAATCGGTTCAAATTTAGATATAGCTCCCATATATATTTTCCGCCGATTAAATGTAAATGGTTCACCAAAGTCCCTATATATCTTTCGATTTCCACGAAATTTGGCATAGCGTACTGAATTAAGTACAGAATGGTGTTTCTTGAAAATCGGTTCAGATTTAGATATAGCTCTCACATATATTTTCTCCCGATTTAATGATAATGGTGTACCAAAGTCCCTATATATCTTTTGATTTCCACAAAATTTAGCATAGCGTACTGACTTTAGTCTAGAATGATGTGTGTAAAATTTCTTGAAAATCGGTTCAGATTTAGATATAGCTCCCATATATATTTTCGACCGATTTAATGTAAGTGGTTCACCAGAATCCTTAAATTATTTTTCGATTTCCACGAAATTTGGCATAGCGTAGTGAATTAAGTGCAGAATGATGTGTGTAAAATTTCATGAAAATCGGTTCAGATTTAGATATAGCTCTCTTATATATTTTCGCCGATTCACATTTAGATAAAGGTCACTCATTTTAGTTCACCCAATCATGTTTTAGTTCACCCTTCTGTTAGGATACATCTTTTTAATATACCCATAGTGGTGAAGGGTATCATATAGTCGGCCCCTGAGTTTCTATCAATTTTCCCCATTTGTTTAAATTTTCCAATGTTTGGCATAATATTTCAATGGTGTTAACACAGCTCTTATAACAGCTCCATATTGACTGCCCTTATAACTGTATGTTACGATTCAGTATGCGATGATAACGCCTTCAAATTTCGTTATTTCATTCGTTTTCTTTGTTCGCATGGCTTTCAGTATTTCTAACTTACCTGACATCAATTTATTTTACTAGGTGAAAGATGGATGAAATACACTTTCGCTTGCCAAGTGTTCCATTGAACTAGTTCGTTGCGGAATGACCAGCTCGAGTGCTTGAAATTTAAATTTGTGGTACGAACATGTACAAGTAAAAGCAACAACGCTTATAGTTTCTCCAACCATATGTTAAAATATTTTTTCTCTGTGTTTCGAAACGGCTAAAAACGTAGTTTGCTTTGACAGATGACTCCGCTACCAATTTGAAAATTTGTATTGAAAATTAAGTAGCTCAACAAATAGTATAATACAAAAATTTGGAACTAATTTCAAATACATATTTTGTATATCACTTTATTTGCGACCCATAGATATGTTTATACCTTCTCTCGCAGTACCATATTGAGTACTCATGTGTGTCTAATCTTTCTATATTATCTATTTTCAATTCTCAAAACGGGAGTACGCCTTAGTTTCAGCACAATTGAATAATCGAATTCCAAATCAGCATATTGGAAATCGGTGGAAAACTTGAAATTCCTTAATAACTTTGCTAAGGCTACTTTCGCAGACATAAGACCATATTTCCATCCTGCGTTATAAATAAAAAAGTAAACTAGCATAAAAATAAATCTTTTTCATCTACATCATTACCATCCTACCTATACAGTTTCGAATTCCCTTAGTAAAGGGAATAAATGCATACGGATGTTTGCCTTCCATGTTACTAGGCAAAAAATGTTCAGGATAAAATTGGTCGGCTTTGGGTCCCCACAAATCCTTACGTCTATGCAAGGTGAAAATATTAATAAGAAATTGTACTCCAGCTGGTACAACTATTCCATTGGATAGCTCGACGTCTTGTGTATTTTCACGTCCTACGATAGATACTGGTGGTATTAGACGCAGAGATTCATTAATAACCATATCCATATAGGTCATATCTTGGGTATTCGCATAGGTCACGTTAAAATCTCCTCCATCTGGAAATATGACCAATAGTTCCTCGTAGACTTTTTGTTGATATTCGGGGAACATCGCTAGCAAAATAAGAACACATCCAATAGTATTCGCCGTCGTCTCAAACGCCTTCAAATTAATATAGCATTAGCAGTGGAATTGAATTCTGATGGAAAATATCTTACCGCTAATATAATTGTACCTGATTCGTCTTCCACATCCTGCACTGTAAATATATTCTTTCTCAGAAGATCAATGGTTTGATCAATAAAAATATTCGAATTTGTAGAATCTTCTTGCATCATATTAGCAGCATCACCATCTCCATTTAATTTGTGGCTTATAATCTGTAAAATTAATTAATTTGTATACACAGTTTTTTTTAATTTATACAGCTACACACGATTATCCTTTTGGTTATAATATTCCACAGTGCCGGCTTAACACTCACCTTTCTAACAAATTCGCGATTTTCTGCTTTGCAGGAGTGGTATGGTTCGTATACACCGGCCAACTTCCGAATCAAATTATTAGTCAACCATGGGGAAAGCACCATTTGAGTTACATTCTTCACCACACTAAGAAAATTTCCAGATATTAAATATTTCAGTTGAAATAATCAATCATTTTGTCATACCAAAGAAAGGTTTTTAAAAGACCCATATTGATTCCATTTTCAATCTCATGGGCCACATTAACTCCTATTGTTGTTCCTGCAAATTCCACACAAAAAAATTAATTAAAAAATAATGAAATAGAGAATATTAACTCACTTATGGCCATCCTCAAGTTTAAATCTTGCATTAAAGTTATCACATCCGGACATTCATCGATTTCTTTGAACAGCTCTACAACCTTATTCACCTCCTCATTAAAGATCGGCATATAACTCAGTAACATTTTAAAACTAAACGCAGGATTCAAATGTTTTCTATGAACGCTCCATTCTGGATCTTAAATTTTATTCTGGTTAATATATATATATTTTATAATTTCTACTTTTTCTAGGTACCTTCGGAAGAAATCAGGCCTTTTCCAACGTTGCTAAGAGGTTTATAGAGTACGCCTTTATTCGTACAACACGGCGATGTGAAAATATCACGGATAATATCCGGTTCAGTTATAATCAACAGCGGATATGTAGCCAGCCATAAATACACCAATGAGCCCAATGACATATTGTAATTGTGTGCCATTTCCAGGGCATCTGAATACATATGAGATTTTTAATACATAGTGTCGAAAATTTACAATTACATTGGCATAAAAAATATGTTTTCCACAATTTCCATATTCCTTATAAAGTATCCCAATATTGAATATCGAGCACTGACATTTTGCACAATCAATTCTAGTACTACTAGGATGATTGGTATTGCAAATGGGGTATATTGTTCCATGTTTTGACATCTTCAATGTATAGACAACCTCCCCACAAAAGAATATTAATATTGACTGCAGTTACAGGGTATCCCCCATATAACTGTGTCCTTGCGTCTTTCAGGTATCTTTTTTTTAATTTCCAGTTAAAATATTGTCTCTTAATTATTACTCTGATCCATTTTTTTTTTTGAACCGATCTAGAGCACAAATTTTCCAATTATTGTTATATAGAGCAAGTGCAGGGAAGGTTTGGATTACAGATGTTCTAGATTTTGTTTCAAAAAAATTCTAAAAACTTTAGGAAAGTGCTAACAATTTCATAATCCTAAAAAATCATTTATGTGAAGATGTTATAAGTTTGTGTGACCCAAGAGTTTGTAACTCAACGAAATTTTGGTCCCATTTGTATTATATTTATTATATTTAGCTGTTGAAATAGTTAAAAAACAATTAATTCTTTCGTTTTCTGGTCGCCCTAGAGTCCACATTTATGACCAAAGAATAAGAGCAATGGACAAAGACTTTTGCATTGTAAGCCGTATATATAATACTGATGAAAATTAAGCGGAGAAGTTGACAGTGTTAACAAGTGAAAAAGCGTAAAGGAAAAGCGTTAAGGCCGGGCCGAACTTTGGATACCCTCCACCATAGATATACTGACAGGTACTAGAAATGAAAATATAGGAAGCATACCAAAAAGTGGACCTATACCGACATTTCTAAAAATGGATTATGTAAACCATAATAAAAAAATCATTAATTTTTAATGGATAATTATATACTGTGGCTAATCGAAATATTGGTTCTACACCCCATGTTTCTTTGGACTAAATCCGTTACAAAAAATTTAGTTTTCATCCAAACTTTGTCCATCTTATTATTTCTTCCAATCTTAGTTCAAATTCGAAGATGGGGAATATCGGTCCACTTCTTCTGGAACCTCCATACACGGACAAGGTCCAAAAGCGGATTATAGTTCATTCTCGAACGTTACGCTCTACTTTTTTATCACGATATCCTCCGCAGGTGAAATTATTACATCAGAGTCTTAGAACAAAACTCAAAACGCGGAACAAATCAGATAACCATTTTATTATAAAAAAAGGGTTTATATGGGGACTACCCCAAAATGGGGGCGAATATTAACAATTTTTGGTAGGGAGATTTGGTACCATATACGACTACAAAATACCAATTTGCAGCAAATTCGGTTGAATAACGCGTTCAAGAACCCTAAAATACCGAAATTGAGGGGTACCTTTATATGGGGGCTATCCGAAAAAATGGACCTATATTCATAATTTTTTGTGGAGAGATTTGGGACCTATTAAGAACTCAAAATACAAAATTACAGCAAATTCGGTTGAATAACGCGTTCAAGAACCCTAAAATACCGAAAATTGGGGGTACCCTTATATGGGGGCTATCCGAAAAAATGGACCTATATTCATAATTTTTTGTGGAGAGATTTGGGACCTATTAAGAACTCAAAATACAAAATTACAGCTAATTCGGCGGAAAAATACGATCAAAATCCCCAAAATATTAAAAATTAGGAGGTACCGTTATATGGGGGCTACCAGAAAAAGTGGACCTATATTTATAATTTTCTGTGGAGACATTTAGTACCCAATAAGAACCCAATGTAGCAAATTTCAGGGAATTCGGTTGAAAAACGCGCTCAAGAACCCTAAAATACCGAAAATTGAGGGGTACCGTTATATGGGGGGTACCAGAAAAAATTGACCTATATTTATAATTTTTAGTAGGGCGATTTGGTACCTAATAAGAACTCATAGCACCAAATTTCAGCGAATTCGGTTGAAAAACACGCTCAAGACCCCGAAATTGGGGGGTACCCTTATATGGGAGCTATGCCTAAACGTGGACCGATATAGCCCATCTTTGAACTTGACCTGCCTGCAGACAAAAGACGACTCTGTGCAAAATTTTGGCGTTCTATCTCAATTCGTTTAGACGCTAGAGTGATTACAACAGACAGACGGATATGGTTAGATCGTCATAGAATTTTAAGCTGATCAAGAATATATATACTTTATAGGGTCGGAAATGATAATTTCGATGCGTTACAAACGGAAAAACAAAACTAATATACCCTCCATACTTTGGTGGAGGGTATAAAAATTGGTTCTAGATATATAGTTTAGTATTACCTGATAGCTATGACATTTTAATTATGGTCACCACCAAAAATTTATGACCCGAACACCAAAAATTTGTTCTGACTAACATGAGGAGTATGATGCCCAATTTACTTGAAATTGGGCGAAAATATATATGGAAGATCTATACAAATATTAAGCGATTTCAAACAAACCTGTCACAGGTTAAGTTATACTAATTTCAGAACTTTACTATCAACCTATTTGTTCCTTGGTGCGTCAATTACTTAAAATCAATCTATAATAAAAGGGAGCTATATCTAAATCTGGACCGATTTTCACGAAACAAGGCAGACATCACTTTAAGCTCAATTCAGTACGTTATGCCAAATTTCGTGCAAATCGAAAGATATATAGGGACTTTGGTGCACCATTTACATGAAATCGGACGAAACTATATATGGGAGCTATATCTAAATCTGGACCGATTTTCACGAAACTTGGCAGACATCATTCTAGACTTAAATGATTAGGCTGTACCAAACTTCGTGCAAATCGAAAGATATATAGGGACCGTTTACATTAAATCGGTTAAATATATAAATCGGTTAAATAAATATATATATCACGAAACTTGGCAGACATCATTCTAGACTCAATTCAGTACGTTATACGAAATTTCGTGCAAATCAAAAGACATTAAGGGACTTTGGGGCACCATTTACATGAAATCGGACGAAACTATATATGGGAGCTATATCTAAAACTGGACCGATTTTCACGAAACTTGGCAGACATCACCATAGGCTTAATTCAATACGTTATGCCAAATTTCGTGCAAATCAAAAGATATAGAGGGACTTTGGGGCACCATTTACATGAAATCGGACGAAACTATATAAGGGAGCTATATCTCAATCTGGACCGATTTTCACGAAACTTGGCAGACATCATTCTAGACCTAAATGCTTAGGCTGTACCAAATTTTACATTAAATCGGTGAAATATATATATGGGAGTTATATCTATATCTGAACCGATTTTTCCCAATTTCAATAGGGTTCGCCGATTTTCACGAAACTTGGCAGACTTCACTCTAGGCTTAATTCAGTGCGTTATGCCAAATTTCGTGTAAATCGAAAGATATATAGGGACTTTGGGGCACCATTTACATGAAATCGCACAAAACTATATATGAGAGCTATACCTAAATCTGGACCGAATTTCTCGAAACTTGGCAGACATCACTCTAGGCTTAATTCAGTGCGTAATGCCAAATTCGGTCAAATCAAAAGATATATAGGGACTTTGGGGCACCATTTACATGAAATCGGACGAAACTATATATGGGACCTATATCTAAATCTGGACCGATTTTCTCGAAACTTGGCAAACATCACTCTAGGCTAATTTCAGTACGTTATGCCAAATTTCGCGCAAATCGAAAGATATATAGGGACTTTGGGGCACCATTTACATGAAATCGGACGAAACTATATATGGGAGCTATATCTAAATCTGGACCGATTTTCTCGAAACTGGGCAGACATAATTCTAGGCTCAACACAGTACGTTTTGCCAAATTTCGTGCAAATCGAAAGCTATATAGGGACTTTGGGGCATCATTTACATGAAATCGGACGAAACTATATATGGGAGCTATATCTAAATCTGGACCGATTTTCTCGAAACTTGGCAGACATCACTCTAGGCTTAATTCAGTACGTTATGCTAAATTTCGTGCAAATCAAGAGATATATAGGGACTTTGGGGCACCATTTACATGAAATCGGACGAAACTATATATGGGAGCTATATCTAAATCTGGACCGATTTTCACGAAACTTGGCAGACATCATTCTAGACTTAAATGATTAGGCTGTACCAAATTTCGTGCAAATCGAAAGATATATAGGGACCGTTTACATTAAATCGGTTAAATATATATATGGGAGTTATATCTAAATCTGAACCGATTTTTCCCAATTTCAATAGGGTTCGTCCTTGGGCCGAATAAATGACCTGTGCCAAATTTCATCCAATTCGGATTATAAATGCGACCTGTACTTTGCTCACAAAAATACATGGACAGACAGACGGACGGACGGACATGCATAAATCGACTTAGAAAGTGATTCTATGCATATTCTCAAAAGGAACCATGGGTCTATCTCGTTTCCTTTTGCTTGTTACAAAGATATGCACAAAGACATAATACCCTGTACCACAGTGTGGTGAAGGGTATAAAAATGTGTAAAAACAGGTTGAGGCGAACCAGTTTTTTATGTTCTCCATCGATTTGTGGCTAAGCAACTCATTGCACGGTCTTCGTGTCAAAATAAAACTAGAAGCCAACAAAATGGGGACTACGCCCATTATGTATCATTTTTCAAA